ATTTATTTTTATTACAAGCCCAAGGGATTCCCTTAACAAAAGACCATGTTTCCCTAGTACTTCTTGCTGTTCTGGGGCCCTGGGGGTCTTATGTTTATTTGCAAGAGGAAGGGGCATGGTGTCAGGGAACTGGTAAAGCAAGAAAAGGAAGTAGAGAACAAACAGCCTATGAGGTCTTCTGAGAGACACACTGAATACCTCTTTTTCCCCAGGGGTCTAAGTATTGTTTGGCTTTTGTGAATGTACTGTTGCTGGGGAAGGTCTCTTCCTGTAGATACTGAAAATAGCCCCACAATCACCACCATTTGTCCACCAACTAGATTTGAAATAATTCTTGGCCCAGAAAGGAACTCACTACAGACTGATTCATTTGCCTCTCAGCATAACCATTATGGCTTGTCTCAGTTTCAGTTCTTACAAGGGTATTTCTTGGATCACATGATCTCACACATCTAGAGGAAATAATGAACAACATAAATCGATGAACAAAAACAGACCCAGAGAAAGAGAAGCAGCGATCAGACTTTCAAACCTCAGAGGGAAAGTAGGGGAGGGTGGGGGTAAGGGGAAGAGATCAATCAAAGGACTTGTGTGCATGCACATGGGCCTAGCCAGTGGCCATGGACAACAGCGGGGTGGGGGCATATGGAGGGAGGGGTTTGGGATGGGAATGGGGGGATGAGGACAATTATGTGATACCAGAATCAATAAAAAATATTTAAAATTAAATTAAAAATTAAAAAAAAGAAAGAAAATAGCCCCACAGCTCAGGGTATAGAAAAAGATTGGGTTCAAGTTGACCAAATCCTTTCCTAGAGAACAGAAAGATGGAGTCTACACTAGTAAGAGCAAAGTACACTTTCAACACAATGTGCAGATTTTATCTGATTTGAAGATTTCATGTCTATAGTAATAAAACTGACTACAATTTGTCTTTCCAGTTGGCTTATGTACCACAGCTCTTGACATCCTTCCCTCTGCCTCCCTCCAGAGGTCTCTTGGGGGCATTACATAAAGTGACACTGGCCTATGGCACAGATAGGGAAATGGTTGAATAAAAGGCAGATACAGGGGTTGGGTAAAAGTAGGTTAAATAACCAGCCCTTATTACCCTAAAGTTAAATAATAAGAAAGGATAGGAAATAAAAACAATAATAGTAACAAATAATATAATTAATAAATACACTGTGTTTTATGCACTCAACTGTAAAACCACTTTTGCCCACCCCTATATTTAACCACTGGAACAAGTAAGTGGAAAAGCCAAATCTACTACTTTGGACAATATGATGATTAGGGTTATCTACAGCATCACGTGGAGCTTATGAGACCACTGAATGGTTAACTGTTTTTCAGTTCATCCTGAAGCAAGACCCTGGTCCATGATTTCATGTTGGAAACTTCTAGCTCCTGTTGATTCATTGAGTCAATAGTTTAAATGCCAAATTTAATGCTGTTACCTGTTCTCTTTTGTTTCATTTTTTTATGATTGCATTTTTGTTGTTATTGAAAGTTTAATAGGGCTCTTATTCCAACTCTAGAAAATATGATGATACCCATAGTCACTAGGGTCCACAGCCAAACTCATACTATTGTTTTCTTTTTGTAGAAGAGGAACTTAAGACACAGATAAGTTAAGTAATTGATGGAGGAAGAAAGGTGGAGGTGAGTGCTTGAGATCTAGTACCAATTAGCAAATGTGAGGAGGGCATCAGAATATAGAAAATAAGAGATGAGTGGAGGATTCTGCACCTAAGAAGCAGGTCAGGAGGTGGAGAGCACAAAGGATGGAGTTTGCCAGTTCAGGACAGAGGATGCAAGGACCTGAGGGCTGCCTTAGCCAGTTTGGCTCAGTGGATAGAGTATTGGCCTACAGGCCAAAGGGTCCCAGATTCAATTCCAGCCAAGGGCATGTACCTTGGCGTGTGCAGGAGGCAACCAATCAATGTGTTTCTTTAGCATTAATGTTTCTATCTTTCCCTCTTTCTTCCACTACCCCTTAAAAAAATCAATGGAAAAATATGATCGGGAGAGGCTTAACAAAACAAAAGGACCTGAGGGCCATGGTCTCTTCAGACTGGGAGATGTTTACATTTTACAAGCGAAGGATTGCTGGCTGCACTGAACTCTACCGTCTCCCCTCAGGCCTTCCCTGGTGTGCAGGTAATAGATGAACTCTTTCCCAGATTTTCTCCGTGAAAGGCCACATTGTATTCTGGAGCTGATTTCAGGTAGAGTTTGAGTTCTGTGAACTCATATACATACCTTTCTTATTAGGTCAGAGGCTTATATCTTTTTCTATTAGATCATATATCAGAAATGGCTTTAATGACACGTGATTCTCAACAGAGTGTACATGTTCAGGTCGTTTGAATAGATAGTGATCCAGAGTGTAACATGGAATTAAAGTAAGCTAAATGTAGCAAGAAAGTTCAAGATGAGTGGTTGTGTATGTTGGAGAGTGGAAATTTTTGAGCATGCTTCCAGAGAAGCCGTGGACTATGCCTAAGATAGAGTTGTCAGTGCTGACACCAGGCCAGGCCTTGAGATATGGTCTCATGGCCCCTTCCCAGCACATAGGACTTCTTTCGTAGATCACTGTCAGCTTTCTGAAGAACAGGATGACCCTGTGAACAAAATGATCATCAATGGCATGACTCTGACGTTGCTTGGGAAAAACTGTTTTGTCTTGGGTTACTTGTTCTGCAAAAACAGGATGTGGTTAATGGGCTTAAAAGCAGTCCTACACAAAGGGTCATAGCTGCTGCTCTCTGGTCTCCCTGCATGTAGAATGGCAGAGCAGTCACCCGGCTAGTCGCTCACCGGGGTTCAGCTTGAATAAAGGCTCTTGGCTTTTGCATCGGACTCGGCTCCCTGGTGGTCCTCGGGGATCTTGAAATCTGGGCATAACAGTGTATATATCCCAGGGCAGAAGACAATGGTGCAGACTTGGAAGTCATATATGCCTGGATTTGACTTCTAGCTCTATAACATACATTTTTCTCTAATCACTTTTACCTTTTTATTGATTCTCTATATTTTAAAAGCATTTTTTTCATGCTACCCCTCCTTATAATTTATATGATTTTTGTAATGATCACTTATCTTTGTTGCTTCTGTTGGTTTAATCTGTTATAATCAACAGTCTTATTTTTCCCCTTCCCTTGTTTCTCTAACCCTTTTACTTCTTCATTTTACTTCCTAATTTTTTATATATTTTCTGGATTTTTTTACAGAGAGGAAAGGAGAGGGAGAGAGAACTATAAACATTGATGAGAGAGAAACATCAGTCAGCTGCCTCCTGCACACTCCCTACTGGGGATGTGCCCACAACCAAGGTACATGCCCTTGACTGGAATCGAACCTGGGACCCTTCAGTCCGCAGGCTGACTCTCTATTCACTGAGCCAAACTAGTTAGGGCTTACTTCCTAATTTGTTCCCATTTGTAACTTGTGCATTCTTAAGCACATGTTTTTCATCAACTCAGGGACTTTTTATTTCCAGCTTTAAATTTGGTTATTTTTTTCTGTTCTTTGAGTGGGCTTATCCTGAATCACATCAAATATCAATATGTTAGCTTTCCATTGTCTGTCAAATATTTTCCAGTTCATTTTCATTTACAACTTGATTTTATACACAAATGCATTATTCTTAAATTATTGAAGACACAATTTTTTCATCCAGTGTATAGCAACTTTATTCATGCATTTCCTTTTATTCTTTCCTTATTATGTCCGAGTACTGTTGCAAACAGGTTTTAAAAATTTTTTAATTTATTTTTATTTTTTAAATTACAGTTTACATTCAATATTATTTTGTATTGGTTTGAGATGCATTTTCCCAAAGCTGTATGATTGAGATTATACTCTGAAGAATTCTTGTTATCACTCTTGAAACTGTAAATAAAATAAAATTGAATTAAAAAAAAACCCCACACAATACACAGCTAAGTCATTTTACATGCAACATATGGACCAAAAAGCCTTGAAGATTTAGACTTTTTAAATGGAACGCCATCATGCTTTTGGTCATCTACATGATCATACAACACCAAAGAACCATGTTGATTTTACATAGTCGAGTTAAATAAGAGTTGCAGAAAGATTCCTACTACAAATATTGACATGCGCCAAGAAATCAGTCATGCTAATTTGTGGGTTATAGGTAACTCTCAGAATAGAAGCATACATGTGGATTCCAATGCACACCTGACACGTTTACTTTGGACCCCCCTCCAGCCACACCCCCCAACCCGACATCGCACCAGATACATTTGCATTGCAGCGATCCCAGTAAAATGATCTCTGTAGACTCATTGTCCAGGGTAATGGCATGCTAAGTACACTGTCAATTTCAAATGAATGCATACATCTTGGAACCGAAAGAGGACTGTTCCTGCTTTTTGGGGCCTGACAAGGAGATAAATTATTCCCATTTTATAGATGAAGTAAATCGAAACCACATGTCAGGACTGTTGGAATGGCTTTATCGTAGATGTAGAGCTGTCGCAACAACGATGCATCGAATCAAATGGTTCCTGTGAATATGGATGGCGTTGATGAAACAGGAGAAATCGGGTGATCGCAGAGATAGATAGAGAAATGCACCAAGAAATGAGTCATGATCAAAACACATAGCTTAAGTAGTTAGACAGCAGTGCAAAATAAAACCCTGATCAGGAAACAAAGATCGGGGTATGGGATGGGGCGACTTGGGTGGAAGAGGAAAAGGGTAAAAGGCTTCTCATTTTGACGGTACAGTTTTGGGGAAGAGAGCCATGCGTTCTACTCTGTCCCTGTCATGCTGCTTCTTGCTGCCACTATTATGGAAAGAAGCCTTTTGGGTACGGGTAACTTTCAGTCAACTAAAATGTCTGTGGTGGCAAGAGGAATAGGCTAACAAAGGTAGAGTCGCTGTGATCAATAGCTCTTATTTCCCTCCAAATGCAATGGCGGTGCCCGAGGTCCGGCCACGGGCACAGTCACGAGGCTGGTGGGAGTCATCCGACCCCCTGTCCGGAGGGGGAGATGGTTTCCTGCAGCACCAGGTGCAGCAGGTGGTTCTGCTCGGCGCTTAGCAGCGGCCACAGCTCCACCTGCAGCGCCTTGACGGCCTCCGTGTCCTTCTCGTGGGCGGCCATGACCAGGGACTGCAGCAGCAGGAAGAGGTCTTCGGGGAGCTGGCCGCTGCCCTCCTGGCCCTGGCTGTCAAACGCCTCCCAGGAGTACTTCTCCAGCGTGTGGGCGTGCTCGGGGAGCAGCTTGGCGGGCGGCGGCTGCAGGAGCAGCAGCAGCAGCACGCGGGACACCTCGCAGCGGACCGCGATGTCCGCGAAGGCGCCCAGCAGGGCACCAGAGGGCGCGGCCGCAAAGCCGGCATTCGCAGGGCGCTGCGAGGTGGACAGGGCTGGGACCGCGTTGGGTCTGAGGTGGGGCCCCTGAGGCTGAGGCTGCATCAGGGGGTGCGTCGGCGGCTGCGGCGGGGGCGGCGGCTGCAGCGGGTGGCTGCCGTGCTCCTGCGCCAGGCGCTGCATGCGCGTGAAGGTGGCCAGGGCGGCGTTGTGGTCTCGGGCCAGCAGCTGGCAGGAGGCGGCGTCGCCGAGCGCCTGCAGCGCGGCCAGGGGCAGCGGCGACAGCTGCAGCTGGGCGGCGCGCTGGAAGTGGCCGGCGGCGGCGGCCGGCTGGCCCAGGGCGCGCAGGGCGGCGGCCAGCTCCAGGCACAGCGCGGCGGCGGCGATCGGCTGGCCCAGCTCGAGGTGCAGGCGCACGGCGGCGCCCAGGGCGCTGGCGGCCGCCTGCAGGGGCTCCCCGGCGGCGGCGGGGCAGGCGAGGCGCTGGCGGGCGTCGAGCTCCTGCTGCAGGAAGAGGCGGGCGGCCTCGGTGAGCGCCAGGGCCTCCCCCGGCCCGTGGAAGAGCTCCTGGTGGCACCGCGCCACCGCCAGCTGGCACCAGGCCGCGTAGGGCAGGCACTCCTGGGCGCGCAGCTCGCGGCCCAGCTGGGCGAACTGCTCGCCGGCCTCCGCCACGTTCGGCTTCCGCAGGAACCGCTTCTTCAGCTTGTTCGATACCTGCCGGTACCTGGCCAGGAAGTCCCCGGCATCCAGCCCCATCCCGGAAAAGCCACCCAGGCCGCTAGAGGACGCCGCCATGTTCCCAGCCCAAGCGCTTCCTCTGGGCGGACTTCGTGGGTGCAGGCAGCTGACAGCGACGTGCCCTGCGTCCTGCTCTGGCCTTCCTCCCACGGAGCAGGCACCAGCGATGCACGCCCTGGCGTTGCCCTGGTGATATGCAAATGTAGGGCGCCCTGGGCGGGGCTTGGCCTAGAACAATAAGTTTAGACAAATCACAGATCCTGGGGCGGGGCCTGGTCAGGTGCCCTCTGTTGCTAGGTGACAGCTTGTTTACCCAGGTTGCTAAGGGTGTCTCCAGCATCTCTAAGGGAACAGGACCAAAAATAAACTGGTGATGCTCATTCGCTCATTCTGATTTTGCGTCTTTCTCCTTGTCCCCTCCTCCCGTTCACTCCTCAATCTTCCTGTCAAAGGCCTTGTGGAGTCCATGCCAACCACTCCGCCCACCCCTCCATTCTGCACGCGGATTGGCATCGCCCCTTCACCCCATCACGAAGCCTGAGTCATGGTCTTACGCTCCACCCCAGTGAACACCAGCCTCCTGGGGGCGCTGTCAGGTTCTGACTTGCTCAGAGGGGATGGGGAGGTTTCCATACCCCAGCCTACCCCACCCCAGTCCACCCCACCCAGCCGGCCTCTCCCTCCTGGACCACCCTGCACTGTCACCATGAGGGGCTGCTCCTCCCTTGTCATCCCCAACTCCGCCCCCGCTACCAGGGACACACCACCAGCAGCCCCATCCCTCCAACCCCCCCACACAGTGACTGAAGCAGGCACATGGGTTTCTTTCAACACTATTTATTCAAAATAACTTTCAATAACTCTGCCCAAGGCGCCAGCAGGCCCGGGCTGCCTGGGCTGTGAGGGGTGGAGGCCTGGGCCCCCGGGTCATGTTGGGAAGCTACTGCATTCCCGGGCTCATGACGGATATGGTGATGTTGTCGAAGAAGCCGCTGAGCAGCGCGTTGTTGTGGATCGCCATGTCCAGCAGCTGTGGGGTGATGCGTCTGCAGCCCATCTTGTGGGCCTCGTCGGCCGCCAGCTCCAGGACGGTGGCCGTCAGGTACTGGATGATGGCCGCCAGGTACACGGGCGCGTTGGCACTGAGGCGCTGGGAGTAGTGGCCGTCCAGCAGGCGGCGCTCCAGGTGGCTCACGGAGAAGACCAGGTCCGCCCTGGCGGTGCGGCTGCGGGTGCGTCTGCGCCTCTGGTGATCAGAGGGCCCTTCCCGGCGGCTCTGCCCGGACATGGTGACTCTGGGGGGCGCTGTCTCCGACCCGTCTAGCGCTGCGGTGGGCTGTGGCGTGCGGCTCAGGGCGGTCAAGAAGCTGCCAGTTGGTCTCAACCGCTCAAAATGGCGGGTACAGCGGCTCCTGCTCTGTCTCCTAGCGACCACGGGCCGGCCCCTCATTGGTCCAGGGACAGGCTGTGTGACACATAAGTTCGGTGAGGTCACTGCCTTCCCATTGGCCCTGGTGGGCCCGTGCCTGGCCCCGAGCCTGGGCCCGAGCCTGGGCCCGAGCCTGGGCCTCGGCCTGAGCCTGCAGAGACGGGATGCTGGCAGCTCCCTATGCACTCTTGCTTACAGGACCTTCTCTTTGAGGGAACGCTCACTGTCCACTGGACAGGAATGTTGTACAGAAAAAACACTGCAGTGGCACCAGGCATAACTGGTGGTGTTGGACAGCCAACACAACTATCTACTTCCAAAACGTTGGAACTGCCCCCAAAAGAAATTTATAAATAAAATCAAGTATTTTATTCATACATATATGAGTTTACTTCCCACTGCCCTCCTCCTCTATCCAGCCCAGCATCCCCTCTACTCCCTACCTAGACCCTGGGCAAACATGAATATGCTTCCTGTCCATAGAGGCTTGTCTATTCTGGAAATTTCTAGAGATGTAATCTTAGATAATAGGTGGCTTTTGTGTCTGCTTACTTTCACTTAACATAATGGTCTCATTATGGTTCACCCAGGTGGTGGCATGGATCAGCCCTCCATTCCCTTTTCATGGCTGAATAATATTCCATTGTGTGGGTGGACTGCATGCTGTGCATCGGTTCCTCGGTGGATGGGTTTTGGGGGAATTTCCACCTCCTGGCAGTTGTGACTAGCACAGAGGTGAACATTTCTGCACAGGGTTCTGTTTGAACACCTGTCTTCAGCTCTTCTGGGTGTACATCTGGGAGTGGAGTTGCCAGACCATATGGTAATTCCATGTTCACGTACTGAGGAAGCGCCCCACTGATTTCCATAGTGACTGTTCCATTGTGCACTCCCCACAACAGTGTCTGAGGGCCCCAATTTCTCCACATCCTCCTCAAAACTTATTCTCCTCTTGTTTTGCTTCTAATCGCCACCCCAGTGGGTGTGAAGTGGTATCTCATGGTGTTGATTTGCATTTCCCTGATGGGGAGTGATGTTGATCACTCTATCTTGTGCCTCTTGGCCATTCCTACATCTGCTTCTTGCACAGCAGGTGTATTTTCAACTCCTTTGTCCATTTCCCACAACTGGGCTGCTTGTCTTTCTGGTGCTGAGTCTTAAGATTCTTGATGCGTTTGGGAAAGTAGACCCTTATCAGACATATGATTTATAAATGTCTCTCCCATTCTGGTGGTTGTCCTTTCCCTTTCTAGGTAGAGTCCTTTGATGCATAAAAGTTTAGTATTTGGATGATATACAATTTATCTTTGTGTTTTTTTCTTTGTCTTTTGTGGGTGTGCTTTTGCTCTCATATTTTATAACCATTGCCTAATCCAAGGTCATGGGGATTTGCACCAAATTTTATCTCAAGAATTATATTGTTTCAGCCCTTAACTTTAGGTCTGTGGTCCATCAGATTTAATATTTGTACCTGGTGTTTTGGGGGCCCATATTTATTCTTATGTCTGTTGATATCTAGTTGTCCCTGCACTTTTTTTTTTTTTTTTTTTTTACGATTTTTCATTCTTCCATTGAATGGTATTGGTACCCTTATTGGAAATCAATTATTTATACATATATGAGTTACTTATGACTCTGCATTCTAAAACATTGACTTACAATAGGTCTATCGTTATGCAGGGCCACACTTTGTAGGATTGCTCTAGCTTAGTAGTTAGCACTGAAATTGGGAAGTGAGAGTCTTCCCACTTTGTTCTTCTTTGTGACATTGTTTTGGCTCTCTGCGTTCCTTGCATTTCCATGTGAATTAAAGGATCAGCTTGGCAATTTTCACAAAGAAGCTAGTTAGATTGTAACAGGCATGGCACTGTGTCTGAATATTGCCTTGGAGATTGTGGCCAACTTTGCAATATTAAATGCTAACATGGGATGCCTTTCCATTGATTTCAGTCCTCTTCCATTTCCTTCAGCAATGGTTTGCACTTTTCAGAGTACAAGTCTTACATGTCTTTTGTTAAATTTATTCCTCAGTATTGCATTTTATTTTGGATGATAGTAGAGAAGGAAGTATTTTCTTAACCTCATTTTTGAATTGTTCGTTGCTAGTGTATAGAAATACAATTGATGGTTGCACATTGATCTGGGCTCATGCAACTTTGCTGAGCTCCTTGATTGCATAATTGAATAAACTGTTGTGTTTTAGTATATTCTTTAGTGTTTTATATGTATGTATATATGTATGTATATATGTATGTATATATGTGTATCCTATATAATAAAAAGGTAATACGCAAATTGACCCTCATACCCTTGTGTCACAAGATGGATGCTCCCACATTGTCACAAGATGGCTGCCCCCACATCATTACAATATGGCCGTCCCCATGTCATCACAAGATGGCTGCCCCCACATTGTCACAAGATGGCTGGCAGGGGAGGGCAGTTGGGGGCAACCAGGCCTGCAGGGGAGGATGGTTGTGGGTGATTAGGCCGGCAGGGGAGCAGTAGGCATCAATCAGGCCATCAGGGGAGTGCTTGGGGAGTGATCAGACTGGCAGGCAGAGCAGTTAGGGGCAATCAGGAAGGCAGGGAGGGGAGCAGTTAGGAGCCATCAGTCCTGGATTTTGAGAGGGATGTCCGACTGCTGGTTTAGGCCTGATCCCACAGAGAGGGTACAGGCCTGAGGGGTCCCAGATTGGAGAGGGTGCAGGCTGGGTGGAGGGATGACCGCCCCCCCCATGCATAAATTTCATGCACCAGGCCTCTAGTATATATATGTGAACATGTCTGTGAATAGAGATAGTTTTACTTGTTCCTTTCAAATTGGATGTCTTTTATCTATTTGGCCTGGCACAACTTTGAGCACAATGTTGCATAGAGTGTCAAGAACAAACATTCTTATCTTCCTCCTGATGCTTTGGGGAAAGTACCCAGCTTTTCACCATTGTGAATGGGATGCTCTTTATCAGGTTGAAGAAATTCCCTTCTATTCCTATTTTGTTGAATTTATTTTCATAAAAGGGTGTTGGATTTTGTTAAATGCTTCCCTTCCCCCTACATCTATGAATAAATGAGCATGACATTCCCACAGCCCCTGTATTCTATTAGCTGCATTATATTAATTGACTTTCATATGTTACATTCATGGGAGAAATCCCATTTGGTCATAGTGTATAACGAATGGCCCACACACTTTTTGTTGAAAGCATAGGTGTGGACCAGGCAAGTGTGTGTGAGAGAAGGGATCTGTACCATGACGAGAAGCTGAGGCATTTGGGGGGACCTGCAATTAGTTTGCTAATACTGGAGAATAGGGTTCCCATGGGAGCGTGGCTGTTGATGTGGCTAGAGTAGAGGCTGCAGGAACCAAGACACATAGGTCCTGGTCTACTATTCTCTGGTTTTGAAATACCTGGTAGGCGATTATGAGCTCATTGTGGTCATTAAGCTATGGAGTGGCATGACCTGATTTGTTTCCAGAAAACTTATTCTGGCAGCTTATTCAGGATAGAGAGGACTGAGATTGAAGTTAGATAGCTACTGCAGTAACTTAATCAAGAAATGATAGACATTTTAACTAAGATGATGGCATTGGTAAATAACTCCAGGGAACAAATTCAATTTAAAAGGTAATTTGGCTGACAGATCTCAGAGGGGAGTAGGTTGGGGGGGTTGGAGGAGATTAAGCAAAGAACATATATGCATATATGTATAGCCCATGAACACAGATAATCGGGTGGTGAAGGCCTGGGTAGGGCATGTGTTGGGTGGAGGGGAAAAGGAGAGGAAATGGGGGACATCTGTATTACTGTCAACAATAAAAATAATAATTTAGTTAGTAAAATGATACATAATAGGTGCTTAAAACATATTTATGACACTGTTGACCTTAGCTGGAGACTTGGTGATTCTTTTATTCCCTTCAATATTTATTGGATGCCTACTATATGTCTGGGATTGTGGTAGGCATTGAGGAAATGCTGATGAACAATGTACATCAGGTTCCTGCATGTAGTATGATGAAAGGTAGATATACAAGGAACCTGACAAATAAAACACTGTATTGTGATAAGTGCTATGAAAAGGGAAATTCAAGATGCTATAGGAACATTGAGGAATAACTTACATGGATTTTTGCTGTTTGGGACACATTCCTGGAGACATTAGTGTCCAAGATGAAGAACAAATAGAAGTTAGCTGAGTGAAAAAGTAGAGCATTAGTGGAGGAGCGAGGGGGGAAAGCTCTGGCATAACTCCTCGAATACAGGGTGAGGTGACTATGGATTTTGGAGCCATTACTAGAGATATGAGCTAAAGATGAAGGTTCTGGTATTGGTTGGAAGATGAGTTTATTTGGAATATGTCAGTTTGAGATGCCTGTGTGATATAGAGATGGAGATGAAGGATAAATGGTGTGGGAATTAAAGAGAGGGGGGGTCAGGGTGGAGATATAGATTTGGGATCATTAGGATAATTTTAGTAGACATGATGTAGTGAGATCATACAGGGAAAGTGTATAGAAGGGGACCAAGGATGACTTCTTTTAAGGGGGGCCGGCAAAAGAAGAAAATTCTTGGAAGGAGACTGAATGAGTGTCCGCACAGAAAATAAGAGAGTACTGAGAGGGAATCAAACCAGAAAGAAAAGAGCAAGGGGTCAGAAAAAGATAGATTTCATCCTAATCAGCTTGGCTTAGTGGATAGAGCATCGGTCTTAGGACTGAAGGGTCCCAGATTTGATTCTGATCAAGGGCACATGCCCAAATTGTGGGCTCGATCCCCAGTAGGGGCATGCAGAAGGCAGCCAATCAATGATTCTCTCTTGTCATTGATGTTTCTATTTATCTCTCCCTTCCTCAG